TTTTGATTTCCTCAATGTACATCCTAGCCACCTCCAGCGTCTTCTACTAATTTCCTCTTCAGTTGGAAGCTGGTTTGTTCTCTGTCATAGTAGGTTGTTGCTGATGGTCTCCTGCCAACGGATATTTTTACGTAGACAACTGTTTATAGACACCTGTACCATTTTGATGACAGTCGGAGTACTTCTCAAAGTTTCAGCTCCGTACAGTAGGACTGTCTTGACGTTCGTGTTGAAGATTATCACTTTGATATTGGTTGAAAGTTGTTTTGAGTTGCATATGTTCTTCAAATGTCGAAAGGCGTCCCTCGCTTTGCTAATCCTTGTCTTGAATCCTACATCAGATCCTTCTTGTTCATCGATGATGCAGGTGACCAGGTACGTAAAAGATCCCACATCTTCCGGACTTTCTCTACCAAGAGTGATTGGGCGGGTGTTCCCCGTGTTGTGTTTGAGAACCTTGCTTTTTCTCTTGTGTATGTTAAGGACTACTGTCACACAGGCTTCTGTTACACTGATTATCTTTGTCTGAATTTGTTCGTGTGTGCGGGGTATGAGGTCTACGTTATTTGCGAAATCCAAATATTCTAACTTATTCCGAGTGGTCCATTGTATTCCATGCTGCCCGCAGATATGGAAGCCTTCATAGTCCAGTCTACCACCAGAAGAAAGAGGGAGGGACATAGTTTGCAGCCTTGTCTGACTCCGGTCCTCACTCGGAATGCATCTGAGAGTTTTCCTCTATGCAAAACTTTACACTGTAGCCTGTCGTATGAATTCTGCACGATATTGAAGATCCTCTCAGGTACACAATAGTGTCGAAGAAGGTTCCATAAAGTTCTCCTATCCACATTGTCAAACGCCTTCTCATAGTCAAGGGAGTTTATGTATCGTGATGAATTCCATCCCCTTGATTGCTCAACGATTATATGCAGTGTCGCGATTCGGTCTGTGCACAGTTGATCATTATGAAATCCGGTCTGTTGATTTAGATGTTGGGCATCTACTGAATCTTTCATCTGGTTCAACAAAACTCTGTTGAAAACGTTTCCCGGTACTGGCAGTAGTGTGATACGTGCTATGCATTAAAACAGATATTATAAAATTATTACATGTATTTCTCGATCAGTTGCTGCCGCCTTCCTTTTGATTCATCTTTCAGCTTATGAATATCCGAAGGATTCGTATTATTCTTGATAACCTCCGGCGCGCGACAACCCCACTCAAAATGATATCGAACCAACGTCATGTTGATTCTGGTGGGAGAGTAGTGTAGTGGCATTGAGCCCTAACTACACAATTCTCAAAGCTGAACATGGAACAGTTCGGGAAATAGACATTCAACATTGAACGCGGAGAAAAACTCAACGATGGAGAAGGTAGGAACAATGGATAAAGTAAATTCGAATTGATTGGATGGGTTGACTTGGCCTTGCAGTCGTGGCTATCCTTGAATACTGTTATATACCCTTTATTCATATTAAATATATTGTTCTATCTCTAGCCTAAGTGTGTTCTCCATCATATACTGATGATTGTTACGACGCGGTGAGTTGGTGTAGATAATAATGTGACTTTCACGTAAGATCTTATAGATTGGGCAGTTACATTGCGAAAAATGTACAATTTTAGGATTATTTCTATTATTAGAGCAGTACTAATATCATAGTAGAGCATAATTCAACAATGCCTCTGTAGTTCGCACATTTGCTCAGATCGTTTTTGGTATCTTGATGAAGTGTCTTTCTTTCCAGTCTGTCGGTGGCAAGTCTTGCTCAATACAATGTGGAGCATGTTTGCAGTTACTTCTATATCTCACCTCAGAACTTCAGGTGGTACACTATCAGACCCTGCTGCTTTCCCACTCTTAATTTGTCGGATCACCCCATCTATACCAAGAAGAACTCGCAAGGCCGACTGGGAATGGTTCAGGCATCAAACATTCATTGCTAATCACATGTTAACACCAACAGAGGTATAGGGACTCCCAGGTCTTGTAGGGAAATTAACTAGTGGTTTGGCCGTACAATCTACCCCTAAGGTTATCTAAATAGTCAGCAAGGAGCACTGGATTTCGAAACGCATTTCAACTACCAAACAAAAAAGGACCGCAACCTGAACGTACCCGAAAACCTACGAAAATGATCATGGTTCTCAAAAATTCTCTGTAAGATCCGTTTTGAATCTTTTGTGTGTGTGAAACTCCCTCCATGTATACATTTGCAGTTTGTTCCTATTGATTACTTTATTTGTACATTGTTAGTCTTTTTGATCTCACTTGAGTGGTTAATATTTGTATTTTATTATAGTTTTAATCTTTCTTACGCCTTCACCAAGTTTCCGTGTTTCTTCCTGAACTGCATTTATGTTGTTTACTCTATGCTTAGTCTGGGCGGCAGCCATATTGGTCTGTTCCTCCTTTTGATTGCGTTGCTTGTATTGACTGGAATTGTGCATTTCTGATTGTGAATTGAGGTACTCTTCCAGAATTGGAAACACCCTGTGTTATAAAGCAACCAAATATATTTTGAACGAATCTGTGCGTGATCTATCCAGACAGGATAGAATAGCATTTATTTGTTGTGATTGATTTGATTAATTGAACAATTATTGATTGAGTAGCTGGGTGGTCATATTTGTTTAGAATCGTCATTTTACCCAATTACCTTGTTTTGGTTTCAAGCGGGCAAGGGCACGTATCTAACCCACCTAGACAGTTATCCTTCAGTCCAAACCTTAGTTTGGATCTTACACTCTCATAATCATGAACCTAAAAGACAGCTCTGACCTTCCTCTCTACCTGCAGGCCGGAAATGAGAGGATGTCTTGAGAAGAGTTTAAGAAGAAACTCAAACTCTTCAAAATAGAGCCACTGTTGATTACACGGCTGACTCCGGAGAAGGACTCCAAGCCCCAAAATCACTCTAGACCCTGTGTAACGTTCACTAACACTGCCGAAGTAGAGGATGTCCCGTTGGCTATTCACTTACTGAAATCAGATGTGAATGCAAGAATACTGCCTGATATACCATATTCTGGGCGCAATCTCATCAGGGATATTCCTAAAGAATCCCATGAACCGTTATTTGTGGAGGAAATATCATTGTACAAGGTGTCAGAAAATACGGCCCTGACAACGCAAGCTTTGATATTTTGGAATGAGGATTCATCATACATTTCTGGGAGTTCGAAAACATGCTGACTCAACAAGTGGCGAGTCTAGCCAAGACGGATAGGGGTCCTAGATTCCGGCTGGTGAAGATAACCTCCCCATCCCTCAGTATGGTGGCTACCACTCTCGAAACATTTCGTGCCAACAGACTCCGGTTGGAGATCTCAAATTACGGATAAGGAGCTGGCAATATCAGGGATGTCTTTGTTTCTCAACGACAGAAAAGCAGGGGTGGGGGCGTAGGAACCTTGTACCTGAGATCTTGCATAGAAGTACATCAAGTACATAACTGAGGGTTTGTCAACCTTGATGAATCGGTATGGTACTCAGTAAGATTATCTAACACCTCGAGGTGACTAGTTAGAATAATCTACACTCACATCTTGATTCTTGGTGGCTTCAGTCTTTCTAAATCGAACTTCGCAGAACATACGTACACTGGACGTCACAAACCTACTGAAGCTCGGTTCTTTAACGTCATTTAAGATTTGTGATTATTCCAAAATGTGAAGTTAGCAACTTAGTAGAGAAACGGTTATATACCGTCAGTCTCAGACTGCATATTTACAAACGAGGAATTCCTTAGTGATAACCTCTCGATCGACATTTTAAGGTTATGTTTAACTTTAATTTCAGGATACGGACTGTCTCAGTGGGGTTCCCCAGGGCTAATTACTAGGACCTGTTCTTTTCTCAATTTATGTAGATGGTCTTCCAAAACATGTGTCGTCGGATTTATTACTTTTTTCTGACGAGGTGAAACTCTAGAGGGAAGTATGAAACTAAGAGGGTAAACTGGCACTACGGAATGATCTGACTCGACTTCAAAGTTGGGTAGATAACAACGGACTCACCTTCAACACTCCAAAGTACAAAGTAGTCCGAAACATATTGTAGACTACGAATATAACTTGGTTAACTCCAGTCTAGAGGTATCTCAAGTTGAAAAAGATTTAGGAGTATTGGTGTTCTGTGATCTGAAGTCTTACGCTAACTGTGACAAAAATGCTTTTCGAACAAACCTGGCACTGGTAACGTAGAAGCGCATTCACGACCAGTTCGACAGAAAGGCTTTCCACATAATCTTCAGAGGTTTTATGTGACTCCGTTTAGAGTATGGCAACATCGTATTCCCTGCAGAAGGATATGAGACACTGGCACGTATCTGACGGCGAGCCACTCAAATTCGAGTCGTATGGGGAGCGCCTTCAGTCACTGAACCTTTTCTCGTCAGAGTACAGGCGTCTTAGACGTGACTTTCTAATGACTTACAGCATCCTTAATACTTTACGGCATCTCAAACATCAATCTAAGCCTAGTCGCAACACAAACCTTAGGGGTAGCACCCCGAAACTGGAGACTCAACACAACAGAATGTACTGTAGACACGCCTTCTATTTCTTAAGAGTAATCAAATTCTGGAATTCGCTACTGGCTGAGTTGGGCCAATCGATTTCCCAGGAATCATCTAGGGGAAAACTTGGCATATTCCTAAAAACTAAGAACAGTCACTATGATTTACTAGTTCTTTTTTCCTCTTTCGTCGTTAGTATACCTTGGTTCTTATTTGGAGGCATGGGTGAACCACTGCTACTAGATACGAAAACCAATCAAGTGAAAGTCTATTCCGTCCGAGCCATTTGTACCATTTGAAGACAGCAACTGCATTGGCGTGGATTTGGAACTTTGGTTATGTTTAAATAAGAGTTTAATGCATGTGAGAACTGAGGAATTTTTATGGTACAGCGAACACAGATTGAAGACCTTCAAATTTTTCTTTGCTTATTAACCCGGATTGATAGTTGACACTTGTTTCAATCCCTTCCCTTTTAGGCGCTCCCCAGGGAATAATCGGTTTTGTCTAGAATGGAGCAGGGGTACGAAAAACGACTGTTAGGGTCTCCTTATAAATCGGTATGTGCTTTTTGTTACGTCTTTACGTCCATAGCCCATTAAAACAGTTAGCCCCATGAAGACTCCAACGAAGGAAAATTACATGGACCGATACATCCCATTGAGAGCAAATGCACGTTGGAAAACGTCGACATCTTTCGAGGTTAGTTTGTTTATGGTTTTATTCATTATTATGTAGCAAACAAATAGTAATCCAACGCGTAAGCTGTTTCAAAGTAGTCGCGGAAATACTGATGGGCTCAGTAACGATGTTGATTCTCCGAATCAGAATGGCTATCCAAGTCACGGTCTTGCGTCTTTTACTGGCGAAAGTAACTGGGGAACATCTGGTGTCAATTCGGCCGTGCAGGAGCCCGCACCACCTACGGAGGCGAGAGGCTGCGACCTTCTCTCTGCTCTTGTAGCCAACGAACTTGAGGAAGCTTCATTAGGTGGGGCTTATAGCCCTGTGAATTCAAGATGCAGTTTCGGTAATTCTGGCGTTCTGGCAGCTAGAGAAAACAACAATATGTTTTCCGTAAGTTTGAGTAACAGTATGTTTAGCTGTCTATATTTTCCATAATTCGCATTAACATATTGGCTGGCGCCTACATGAGCAAGTGCTATTCTCAATTTCTAAATCCACCAATAGTTAAGATAGCTGCTCCTGAAGTTCATCATTAAACGGTTGTCTCTATAACAAACCAATGGTCGTAATGTCAACATTGCGGACTCCTCAAGATGGATAAGTGGTTCACGTTAAAGCACCTACCTTTTGAGGTCATGATTTACTATCCACTCGACATTTAATAAAGTCATGTTCTGTAAAGGAAATAAAATCTGTAAGAATTACCATACTTATACCATTATTGTATTCAGTGAATAGTTGTCTAATTAGTAGTCCAGACCTAGACTTTGACGAGTAGTCTGCAGGTTGCAGACTTATAGGCGTTCGTGCCGTGTGTTCTGTATCGTGTTGGCTTTCTTTGACATGATTCAAGTCATTCCTTTCTGAATTTTACAAAATTGGCTTCTCACTTGTCAAGTAAATTGTGGTGTCGCTCAAGAAAGTAACACCTGGTCTCTGACTTAGTAATTATATATGCTAAGTAAGTAACACATGGTTTTTGTAAATAAAAACTATTCAGACCCTAGTAAAATGTAGTGTGTCCGTCCGGTGTCTGTTTGCAAGCCAACTCTTTTACCTTCCAAAGTCCGATTTTTCAGAAATAATAGTTCAACATATCTTGGTTCGTTTTCGTCATAATGTTTTGCCGTTACCAGCTATGAGTTAAAATAAAATGTAACTTAGTCTGGGACGCTAGGTAATCAGGCTACGGTAATTTGTCAAGTAAGCCACATTTCCGTACATAGTTTCACATTATTTTCTAGTCTAGCCCCGAGTGTAGGATATATTTACCTGTCCGATACTTTTGTAGTCTAAATGACCCTTTCGGTCTATACTAAATAAATACAAAATACCTTGAAACAGCTTTGCTTGTTATTATGTTTGACGTGTCACTGAACGCTTTATTTCCCATTACAACCACAACAGAAACTTGTTAGTTCACCCTGTTCGGTAACCGAATCAGATTCTCGGTCGTCACATGATGCATAATTGGTTAGTTAGTTGCTAGATAATTTTACTAGCTCGCATAGCATCTCTTATAGTGCTCGAAAAGTAGGTTAAGTTGGCATTTAAAATGCTTCGTACATAGTTTGCGTCTGACTTTATTTATTTATTTGACTAGTCATTACTGTTTTGTTATCCAGTTATATTCGTTTTGATTATTTTTATTCCTCACACCAAATGCCACTTATACTGCGCACTAGTTTCTCAATCTTGTGTCTGTTTTGACTGGCTTGTTCCTCTTAAACTAGTTTTTTTCTGATGAGGAAATTTGTGGTTGCAAATTGTATGCTTATCTTCATCTGGTGACAGATAGTAATAATTAGTCTAAAAGCCATACAGTACAATAAGAAAGGACTGTGAACCAGTAAAACGAGGTTATAGACTTGCTCTAAGTCTTGCACTTTATGATCCATGTCAGGATTATAAAAGCAACGAAAGTCCTCATGATCGTCAGCTAATTTATATTGGCGACCACCAAATCTGATAATTACTTGTCGTTATGCTGATTCTGGAGACATCTTATTATTTGTTTTCTACTCCATTATCTCAAACTGGTTTAGTGACTTCAGGTAACCTTCCAAAACATTTTCCCCAATTCTATACAAAGTTAACACATTTCTTTTCATTTTTGTAAAACCTAATTTTCTCGTTTACTATCATTAGGTGATTATGTACTTATAAGATGTTCATTTCCCTTTTTTCTATCCTTGGTATTTAACAGTTCAAGCTTAGAAGGGAGAGTCCATGTAAATTGAAAACATCTCCCTATACCATGTCTCCAGTATCTGAAAAAAGTCAACATTTGCTGAAGTTTCCACAAAAAGTAAGCAGGTGGAATATATTTTAAAAATGTAATTATGTAATTCGCACCGAGGGGCTTTACTTTTGCTTTTGTTATAATCAGTCTGTTTTCTGTCCTAGTTGCCAATCTTGTAATAGGCTAAATAGTAAACTTGTCAGTAACCGTCATCTTATTTTTTATAACTTGTTACAGCAAGCGCGTAAAATATCTCGGGTACCATATAAAGTTCTAGATGCTCCGGAGCTACAAGATGATTTTTACCTTAATCTTGTTGATTGGTCTTCTCAAAATGTATTGGCGGTTGGGCTGGGAACATGTGTTTACTTGTGGAATGCTTTCACTAGTCAGGTAAGACAATCATGTCGTTTGTCTACTCTTATTTTAAGCAAGTTTTGTCTAACTTTTTAAGTGCAATAAATATCCTAATTTTTAACTTTTTAGGTTACTCGATTGTGTGATGTTTCTGGAGAAACCGATGTTATTTCATCAGTTGCGTGGTCCAAAAAGGTATATCGGTAAAACTAATAATTGTAATCATTTATTACATTACTCATATGTTGTGCCAGTTATAAAATGTTTGTAGTTATTTAGCCGTGTAATTTGACTAGAAAAATTGCTCTTGTATCCATTCAGTTTGCTGTATAATAAACCTATTTTTACTGGGTAACTTTCCGAACTAACTAATGCATGAAAAAGGGTAGTAACCGAAATTTTTTTGACGAAGCTGGTGGTTTATGAAGTGAAACTTCAATGAGAACTTCACTCACATAGTTCCCTTGATTTTTCAGTACTATCCAAATTTGTTAGCGTTAGGAATTTCCATTCTATTTTGCCATGTACTCGATTCCCGGGCCGTTTATAAAAAGACTGGTTTGAAGTTGCGTGACTGATTGGCGGGCCGTCATCTGTTCGAAGTAATTTCTAGACTAACTCCAATCTTACTCATACTAATTTTTCGTGATTTCTTTTAGTTAACAAAGTTATTTAGTTGGGTCACAAAATATAACTTACTACTGTGTTTACTAAAAGGAACTGTTTCACCACATAACCCCCTCACTTGCTTGAATCGCTTCCCTGCATTACTACATAAGCTACAGCTTTGTTACCGTTAAACTGGGTGACAAATTCGATGACCAAATCCATTTAAATTACCAACTATGGGGAGTTTTCTATTTTCTACTTTTTTTCCATTAATGAGACAATTCATTCGACCTAATTGAAAGGAATATCCGTTAATTAGCATATGTTCACCGTTCCGTACACTTATAGTTAAAGTGTTACTGTTAATATGTCCTACAAATAAGAAAATAACTGGACAGGCACCTACTTACATATATAGTCTTACTATGTAAATGCATATACTCAGCAGATAATATTAAGGCTGTGTAATGAATTCATTTCTCATAAATTTTTCTTTAAATAGATTAATGTTAATTCGCTTTAAGTAATACTTTCATCTTGTTTTGTAGGGTAGTCATTTAGCGATCGGCACTTACCGTGGTCATGTTCAAATATGGGATGTGACTAAAAGTTCCTGCATACGCTCACTAAACGGACATATCGCTCGTGTCGGTGCTTTGGCGTGGAATGCTGATCTTCTGGCATCTGGCAGCCGAGACCGTTATATTCTGTTACGTGATACACGTGCTTCAGCTAATTCTGGTGGTGGACCCACTGGTCATCTACCTACTACAAATCCCTCTAATGCTTCTGTATTAACTGCTGAACTTGCTGATAGAGATGAGGTTATGACTGATTTCAATTCCATTAGTTCACCGAGTCACATTGATCAAGTAGAAAGTGACCCAAACTATCCGCGGGCTTCAACACCTATGGTATCGATCAATAGTGACCTTCCGGAAGTTGATCCTCCAAGTACTCCAGCCCAAATGGATATAGACATGCTTGGGTTTCGAGATACGGATCACGCTTCATCATGGTCTGCCGCAAGGACGTCAGCAAATTCCACTGTCACCCAGACCACTGCTTTACAGTCGATCGAAAATGGAGCAGATCGTCTTGTTCCTGGAGCAGTACGTGTGCTAAAGGATCATAGACAAGAGGTTTGTGTGATATTTTTCTTTCAAGTAAAATTTCTGATTGCTTATTTATATTTTGAAATTTAATTGAGATTTTATCACCATCATTTTCTGCGTTACAAACCCACGTCATTATCAACCAACATCAAAATTTACTATCTTATTAGTAAGTTTCGTGTCGTATCATGAAGTGACTACGAGTCTTAATTTATTCACATTATAATCTAAAAACATTTCAAGTTTTATCTGGCCATTCATTGTTAGCATATTCTGTTTTTCAAAATAAATTCTTTAGCATTGATATATATATTGTTGGAATTCGTAGGTATGTGGGTTAAAATGGTCTCCTGACAGTCAGTATTTAGCATCAGGAGGTAATGACAATCGTCTACTCGTTTGGAGTCAGCATGCACCATCTACTGGTGGCCCTGTCTTAACGTACGAAGAGCATGTGGCCGCTGTCAAAGCAATTGCATGGTCGCCTCATCAACATGGATTACTCGCAAGTGGCGGTGGTACAGCTGATCGTTGTATTCGATTTTGGAATACATTAACTGGTCAGGCTTTACGTAGCGTGGATACTGGAAGTCAGGTAAGTGATCCATGCTGACGACGTATTATTTAATAATCTTAGTTTATGAAAGAAAAAAATGATTATTTTGATAATAATAAATCAGAAAGTAAATTGGAAATTAGCTTATTAAGATTTAAGAATAGATTGTTATTTCATTATTTAACATTCATGTAGGTGTTTTTTCAATGCAAATATCATGGATGTTGTATTTCTGTGTAAACTGCAAAAAGACCTTATTATAGTTGTTATTTAGTAGGTCGATGTATGCGTTTTTGGTTTTGATTGTACATACAAGTATTAAGTGGATGGTTTGCACATTTTTGAGAAATGTTTTAGGGTTTGTCAAATATAGGTGACTGTTTCAACTAGTATTTATACACGTATAATCTAAATGTAGACACATTTCAAGTATGTCGGCAGTTGAATTCGTGTTTATTATTTTGTAAGAGTTAAGCAAATTGTTTTTGCAAACATATCACGTCAGTTTCAGAATGTGTATACAGATCGATACATTTTAGTTATTTCTTCCTAGTCGATCGGCTAGTTTGGATTGTAATGTGGCGTTTTATTTAAAGAAATTGACCATGTAGAATATATTGTTTATACTACCATTTGGTCAGAAGTTCGTCGGACGTTACTCCGCTCAATACTATATGTTGGCAACTGGCTATTGCCACTATCAGAAAGCTGAATATAGAAGCCTAAAATTGAGCTACACTAAAATCTACATTGAATAAAAATGAAAAGGATCTTACATGCCCTATATCGTATTACTGAAGTGTCGTTAGGAATTCCTAGTGGAAAGTAGTTTAAAACTTCACTATTTATCCTAACACTTCGAGAAACATGTTCCAAAAGCTGCTATCTGGGTTGCATAAACGGCTTACTTTTTGTGGGACTTTCACTTGTAAAGATCTCAAATAAAAAGAACAATGATCTTTTCTTAACGCTTTAAATAAATTGTACTGTGTAAATTTATGTGAGTAAAAATTGTTGCTTCTTAACCGTGTACTCAACAAAAACTAGGTGTCTATATTGTTGACTGGTTTACATTTTGGCTAGGTTTGTAATATTGCTTGGTCCATACATAGTAACGAATTGGTCAGTACACATGGTTACTCACAGAATCAAATTCTTGTTTGGAGATATCCTAGTCTAACACAGTTAGTCAAGTTGGTTGGGCATTCATATCGTGTGCTGTACCTAGCAATCAGTCCAGATGGTGAAAACATAGTAACTGGTGCAGGAGATGAAACACTTCGCTTCTGGAATATATTTACTAAAGCCAAAACTCCAAAAGTTAGTATACTAAGTGTTGTTTGTGTCGTTGTTTTTATTTTGACCTTGTATAATTGGTTGATCTGATCATCTAGTTTTGATCTCTTCAGATATTTGGTTATGAAATGTTTTTATCTGTGGTTAACCAATATAATTCCAAATAGTTACGATGATTTTCCCACAGTTCACTTACAGAACATGCAGATACTACTCATCTCCCTGGGGTGAATTTTTTCTAGTATCCTAATAACTAATTTTCCTAGCTAAATTAGTTTTTTTGTTGCATACTGTCACTGTCAAACGGAACAACGTAAATTCACACACAAAAGCCGTCGAGTTAATCTTTTTAAATATCACATAAGTTTGTCAGTAGGCTCCAACTCAGTGGGGTTGAAAAGACTATGAGTAATTTAAAGCGAGGAAGGGCAGCTGGGCTTAATGGATATTCGTAGGTCACCAATATTCGTTTATAGGTGTCTTTGAAGCATTGTTTACGTATTTCGGGATCAGTAAGTAATCAAAGCCTGGGTTAGGGATAAATTTCTATGTATTTGGTAACCTACTTAATAGTTATATTTCGTTGTAAGTTACCTCTTAATTTCGTTATAGTACTCATGTCTGTATCAATTATTGTAAATATGAAGCGTTTCTGTTGACTTAATATACAGGTTTTTAGCCTTATATATATAACATCAGATGATTGACTGGAAACAGCAGATAAAAAAGTACTTATCAATAGACAATCAAATATACTCTGTCGTTAAATAGATGTATTTCACATAATCTGGTTTCTCTAAACATGAGTAGCTGAAAGCCAACTTAGTACAGTGGTATTTATTTTATGTTAAACAGAGTTATGATGTTCATGGAATCACACCAGTTAATATGTTTATATTTTAGTGTGGATGTAGTGTTAATTTTTATCGTAAATGAATTTTTATGTTATGCACAAATATGTTGCATATATATATTCAGTACGAGTAACTTTTGTGCTACCGTATGTTTCACAACTTCAAACTATCTCACATTAAATCCATTGATTTTTATTAGATGCAACCATCTTCACTGAACTTATTCAATGGGATTAGATGATCTATCTAAAAAAGAAGTCTTTCAAAACCTGTGGATATTTCTCCGATGTGTTTTATTCTACTTAGCAAATATATATGTATCATCAACAATATGCGCACATTAGTTATATGCTATCCATACATATTACTCGACTATATTATTCATTTCTGTAAATATATGATTACTTATTGATAGAAATTTCAAATGTGTTAATAACTATATATTCCATCATTAACAATTACATTCTGGTCGTATGTATCAACGCCATAACTCTTATTTTCTACAGGTCTTGAACTTCTAACTTTTACTTTAGTCAGTTCAACTGTATGCAAAATTATATGGTTGCTTCTTACTTCTGTCTTTACTTATTACATATTGAACGAAACAAAATAGTAATCATTATTAATTTATATTTTCCTCACAATTGCTTGTCTTTGTGAAATTGTACTTATAATATATTTCTTAGTTTTGTAATTCCTTTAAATAACACATTGTGTAAGCCACTGTGTATCTGTTCATCCTAGTCATTTGTGACAGCTTTTTCTTTTCTTTTAATCTATTTGTATTTTTCTTTTGGCTGTCTGTGTCGTATTTAGTTCAACTTCTTTGACACTGTGATAGTCTTCCTCATAATAATAACAATAATATATATGTACATATATATAATGTGCAGCGAAAATAAAACATCATCTTAGTTACTATTGTTTCCTTGGTATACTACTCAATGTGGTTTAGTCACATATTTATTTCATACAAAAACACGGGTGCTCCTATCAATTGATACTTGCGGTGAAATATTGACGAATTAATGTGTAAATTACTTGTTTTGCAAATTAGTGTCTAGAGTATTAAATTATCTGAAAATGTGGTCCAGGAATTTGTCAGTCTTTGATTATAAATAACTGTCTTATAATGGATGGTAATGATGAAAAGAATGCGATTCTGGACGTTGATTGTGTTATTAGTTATTATCACTAAGATTAAGAAATCCATGTAGTGATTCTAAGAAAAGTTGGTCAATAAAATACGTTTATTCAATCAAATTTTTATTCCTTTGCAAAAATTTGTTCCACTCAGTTTCCGTAAGGAATATTTTGACTTGCGTTACCTTTATAAATTCTACTGGAACTGCAAACTCATCATGTACAGTTAGGTGTATACTAGCATAGATGTATCATCAAGTGTTATTGTAGTTTTTAGGAAAACGAGTGTACGAAAAGATCTGTTTAAATTGCTCAAGTAAGTATAGTTTCCAGTTTTTTCGGATTAAATAGTATTATCTATTTTTACTTGTGGAATTTTCAAGGCATTGAAGGTCATTTGCTCTATGTGATTTTTATTATTATACGTATATGTTGTACTGGTTATGGTATCTTTATTGATATAGTGAAAAGCTTCACTAAACTGGTTTTTATCACGATTACACTCCGAATAGGTTTTCAACGACTGTAAACTTGAAAGTGATCCTCAGTCAAGAGTGTTATCAAGTAGCTGTAGAAATTTGTTATAATAATAGTGTATACTTTATTGTTTTTAACTTATTTTGGTCGAATATAAAAGTTAAATAAGTTGTAACAATAATAACTACACCATAGTGGATAACGCTTTGAGTATTGAATAAGGTCTGGTATTTCATATTTTAAAGTATTTGTTGCAATTTTAGGATAAGTTAATTTATATTAAGGATACTGTGAATTACCAGTGCTTAAAGAACGCAACGTTTGCTTCATTCTGTAATAGTAATGGCACTGAGACATAGTTTTCTCACTGGTGTAACTTATATCCTATGAATATTTAATCTAGTTTATTTCATAATCTGAATCAGATCACATATGAAGGCGGTTGTGAATTTTTACTTAATTAACATTATTATAATACAGAAAGAACATTACATTGTAGGTCAGATTTTGTTTTCCAATAAAGTTACAACGAAAATAATCTGAACAACCGTGATATGTAAAGAAATTATAAACGAATCCTTTTTTTCACACTCATTTGTAATGCTGCATCCTTCCATTTGTAATCTGATTCCACAATCTATTTAATCTAATAACGGGTATATTTTTATTCATATGGTTGATAAATTTCTAACTAGATATATGATAAAATACAACTGGGTTGGTATGACTTAGTACCATTATCGACTATTTAATCTCATATTCATTATGTTTGATCTTCAGGGTTACTTCATTTTATAGCTTTGACAAATCTACCCTTGGTGGTCAGTTAATCGATTTGACAGGAAATAATCAATTTTGAGCTGGTTGTTGTGAAACTAGTCGGACAATTAGTTCACTGATTACATTGATAATTAAATTATGATGATAGTGATACAAGTTAACTGAAATTGAATTATTTAGACCATCATATTCGTACATTACCAGTATTTGATGGTGATTCTCTTCGAAGTATTGCTTGTGTGTGTCAGGAGCATCAAGTGAACAGTATCGAGGTTAGTAGCGGTATACCAGTTTATCATATTTATTTGAGCACAAATATTGGTACAAAGCGGCACCGAATACATATGCGCCACACAAGTAACTTGATTTGTATGTAGGCTGTGGTACTGCTCGGGTGCCCAGACCGAAGCAGGTGGTTTTCTTAGGAAGCCGCACCCGGAGCCTTCGACATAAAGGTCTGATCCACAAGGCAGTGGGACAACATCAGGAGATACACAGTCTCTTGGTAGCCGGTGACCAACATTAGGTTCATACGCCATTTGTTCCTTCAAAATACTGCAGCCCATGTACACCATCGGTTTGGAATCAGGGTTTTCCAACTTCCTTAGGTGGACCCTCCATATCCACCGACCCGGTTAAAGCTCAGGACACTCGCTTTTTGTCCTCTCAATTTCGTGGACAACACCCCCGCATAGAGAAGGCAGCGAGTGGGAATTCCCTGGTGGTGTCTGTATACGCGTGGCCATATGAGAGCACTTGGAAAGGGAGAGCTAACTCTCACCACCCTCGGCTGTACCGGGGCATTTGGGGGCTGACGTGGTTAGAATATTTGTCACGTGTGTCTTATCGCCTTCGACTTCATTTTTTGTAAGAGTGGGTTGGAAGGCCAGGAGCAGCTGCTAAACAAAAATGTCGCATATTGTAATTGACAGTTGGACTAAGTCATCTAGTTAGGTATAGACTACCTGGATGCGATTCGTATGATTGTCGTAACCAATGGTTGAATTGCTCTCAGAAATGCAGATGCATTCACCATTTGTATGTCCTTTGATTTTCAGTTTTCAAATTATGTTACACTTGGCTATTTCATAAATTCATTGCTCTCGAATAATACTGTCTATACGTAATGTTTTCTTCTACTACTTTTGAATTAATCTTGATAATTCCCTATACTGACGTGGTGTAAGGACTTAAACTGATGCACATATGTGGCTGGTTCTATATGGTTTTAAATTATGAATGTTAATTTAACTCCTATTTCAATATTTCTTCATTTGGTATCCAACACTTGGTAAAATCATCTGAAATAAGCAATCGATCGTTAAATTATCAAATGAAATACCAGTTTTTATAACGATGTCATAATGAACGTATTTATGATTATATTTGTATTATGTCTGAAAATCTAATTTTGCTAATCTTTTTCTGAATTTCGATTATAATATTTCTGATATTGTCTCGAACCCTACTTGAATTAAGATTGATAGGTACAACTTACTGATAAGTTCCAACAAAATGGGAACATATGCTCAATTTTTTCTGTGAAACTTTTCATCATCTAATATCGGAATTAAATATATTCCAGCTACTTCTTAGTGTTAATGCTTACATATAAATGATGGAAGATATCATCATGTTAAATTAATAACAGCTCATGCATGGTGACTTGATAATTGAATTACTTCAGAATTTCATTTAGGAAATATTCAGTGAAACACACTTGAATATTTTAATAAATTCATGTTCTTACCACATTCTCAAACAATTATTATGTCAATTAAATGGACGGTGACGATCAGTTGAAAATATCCACTTGTTTCAAGTTGATGCGTACAAACATATACATATTGGCATCATCGTATAGATTTTAATAAGTGGTTTGACATGGTGTAATATTATTTCACTGTTACGTCATGATTGTACATGTATGAATTTAAGGTGATAACCATCATCTTAGTATTTGAACCTCAGTCTGTTATTTATGTTTTTGTTATACGTAATGAATTCATGGACTGAAAATAAAGTGATACTAAAGAAGAATGTAGGTTTAGAAAAGTAAATTAACCAAGTGTTAAAAATATAGAACAGTAATAGATAATATCTATAGGTCAGAATGAGGATATTAGATTTTATATTTTCTAGACAGGATGGTTTAATTGAGCTTTCATTGTTCCTCTAAAAAACATCAGAGAAGTGGGTAATTATAATTTCTTCACGAATGGCTTACAACTTGTTTTGTTGACCTAGTATTTGGTTGGTTATTGTTTGTTTTTGGCTGTTTTCTTTCTTAATATGAACTCCGAGATTACAACTGCCAGTTCTTTTTTTATTGATTGATAGACTTCGTCGATTTAAAGTGGTGGTTGGAGGTAGTTGACATGAAGACCTAGACTTGGCTTTCATGCTCGACACAGACTTGCACCCATATTACAACTGGGTCGATAGAATTTGATTAGCACTAAGAAGGACTGGACATACATGGCATTAATCACTACTCAGTGATCAATCAATAGTAAATTTGGTTGTTTTCAATGTCTCTATTGATTGATGCTTGATTAAAGTTGTAACAGCTTCTATTTTATTACTCGATCTATTCCAGCTTTTGGACAACTGAACAGTTCCGACTTTCCTACGAATTTTGTCGCTTACACATATACGCGTTGTTATTAGTGAGATTTAGTGAAATAACATATAAGCTGTGAGTAGAATCTATATTTCGTGTAAACCACTAATGATTTGATCACATTGGAGTCAGACAGCAGGTATTTAGAAAAGTGCAGGGTTTTGAAAGATTCTCCGGTTCTCTTGGTGTTCTTTTAATACAATATCTTGACATTTCCCAAGTCAAAATTATGTCCATAAGCATTAATGTAGGACCATATCTTGTCATTTAACAGCGAACTGGATTTTACATAAACATGAACGAAGAGTGTGGCCTTGCTTGTCGTGCATGTTTGTCATAGTCGTTGCTTCACAACCGAACTATTTAATTCAGAGACCACAGCAGCAACAGTAAATATATCTACACCAATATGGTCGATCGTGAGGAATGTTAACTAAGGTCTCCAATTACTGTGTCTGATATTCACAATTAAAAGGTTTGCAACCCTCCATCAAATAACTAGCTAACACTCTAAGACTTCATAGTCTGGAACTGTGGCGTAGCATTTTGACCTTTACTTTCTTATATTAAATGAACCCATTTCAACAAGCATCTCACTTCAAATTAAAAAGTGGATCAGAATGTCCAATATGGCCAAGCTACTTTAGTATTGTATTCTTAGTCTAGAACTTTGAATCGAACTCCAACAACTCTCAAAATATTGACCATCCCCACACGCGAGCAATAGCACAGAGATGATTTTTATCAAAAATTTGTAATCTACAAATATCTTCCACATGTAATGACGAAGTCTTAAATTCGTACATCACTGAGCGAGCTATTGTTCAGCATACTCTCCATGTGATAGATAATCAGAGATTTACCTGATACTGTAAAATCGAATGATGATTATTT